GGGGGGGGGGGAGAAAATAATTAACAAGCAGCCAACCAATATTTCATTTAAACCTATAAATAGGTGTGATGTGGTACTCATAAGAGTGTATATATTGTGTATTTAAAGTGGAGGGTTCTGTAAATGTTAATTAAGTCTACTTGTTCCAGATCTGAGTTCAAGTCCTGGATATCGATGTTAACTTTCTGTCTCATTGATCTGTCTAATATTGATGTTGAAGTCTCCCACTATTATTTTGTGGGAGTCCAAGTCTCTTTATAAGTCTTATATGTCTGGGTATTCCTGTATTGGGTGCATATATATTTAGGATCTTTAGCTCTTCTTGTTACATTGATCCTTTTATCATTATGTAATATCGTTCTTTGCTTCTTTTGATCTTTGTTGCTTTGAAGTCTATTTTATCAGCAAAAATTGCAACTCCTGCTTTCTATTTATTTATTTTTGCCCTCCATTTGGTTGGTAAATTTTTCTCCATCCCTTTGTTTTGAGTCTTTGTGTATCCTTGCATGTGAGACGGATCTGGTTGTAGCATACCAATGGGTCTTGGCTTTTTTTTGCCTGTCTGTGTCTTTGGATTGGGGGATTTAGTCGATTTAAATTTAGAATTAATAACAATATATGTGAGTTTGATACTGCCATTTAATATTAGCTGGCTGTTTTGCCCATTAGTTGATGCAAGTTCTTAATTATGTTGATGTTTTGTATTGTTTGGCATTTTTTAGAAAGGCTGATACTGGTGTTCCTTTCCATTTGTAGTGATTCTTTCAGAAGCTCTTGTAAAGCAGGCCTGGTGGTGATGAAATCTCTGCGTGCTTACTTGTTCACAAGATTTTATTTTTCCTTTGCTTATGAAGCTTAGTTTGGCTAGATGTAAAATTCTGGGTTGAAAGTTCTTTTCTTTAAGGATGTTGAATATTGTCCTCCTCTCTTCTGGCTTGTAGGGTTTCTGCTGAGAGATCTGCTGTGAGTCTGATAGGCTTCCCTTTATGGGTAACCTGACCTTTCTCTCTGCTGCCCTCAGTATTTTCTCTTTCATTTCAACGCTGGTGAATCTGGGATTATGTGCCTTGAGGTTGGTCTTCTTGAGGAATATCTTTATGTTGTTCTCTGTATTACCTGGGGTTGAATATTGTCCTGCCTTGCTAGGTTGGGAAAATTTTCCTGAATAATATCCTGAAGCGTATTTTCCAGCTTGGATTGATTCTCTTCATCACATTCAGGTATACCTATCAAGCGTAGATTAGGTCTTTTCACATAGTCCCATATATCTTGGCGACTTTGCTCATTCTTTTTTATCCTTTTTTCTCTAATCTTGTTTTTTTGTTTTATTTCATTAAGTTGGTCTTCGACCCCTGATATCTTTTCTTCTGCTTGATCAATTTGGCTGTTAAAACTTGTGCATAGTTCGCGAAGTTCTCGTGTTGTGTTTTTCAGCTCCATAATTCACTTATATTCCTTTACTCTAAATAGTGTGTTAGTTAACATTTCGTCAAACCTTTTTTCAAAGTTCTTAGTTTCTTTGCATTGGGTTAGAACAAGTTCTTTTAATTCCCAGAAGTTTCTTATCATCTATTTTAAAGCCTCCTTCTGCTAATGGAACAGTCTTTCTCCATCAGGGCTTGTTCTGTTGCTGATGAGGAACTGTGATCCCTTGTAGAGGGAGAGGCGTTCTGATTTTGGGTATTCTCAGCCTTTTTAGGCTGGTTTCTTCCCTTCGTTATAAATTTATCCATCTGTGGTCTTTATAATTACCGTCTTTATAGTTGGGTTTCTGAATGGACGTCCAACTTGTTGATTCCCGGTGCTAAAATCTGAGCAACCCACTGTGCTGGCCAAAACAGCGGCTTTAAGATTGATGGTGCTTTTCTGACTCTGCACCGAGAACCGCTGCACCAAGGCTGTGGCAAAACCACCTCACCAGCCTCAAGAGTTGCACTGGCGACCCGTGGGGCTCCTCCACTGGGAATCTCCTGGTGCGTGAGCAACAAACATTGATCTGAAGGTGTGGCGTGCTCTCGTTCTCTGCGCTTTCAGTGGGAGCTACAATCCCGAGCTGCTAGTGATCAGCCATCTTGGATCTCTCTCCCAAGACGTTTTTAAGTCTGTTTAAATGCCTCCAAGTTCAGTTTCCATTTGCTTAGGCAAGACCTCAGGCTAATGGCTTCCTCCTTTTTTGCTTTAACATGTCAAAACCATAATTCATTTTCATTTTACTTTACTGGCATTAATAGAAGTAAGTGCACATTTTTTCGTTATTCAGAAAGTCAATTTAATTGGCAGCCTATTTGTGATGGTGCATAAAATAATATCTGTTAATCGTTGGCATCTTAGATGAGATAAAATATGTTAACTCTATTAAGCTTTGTTATTAAACCATAAGAGGAGTTGAGTTTCATCTTTTTTCTCCTAGGCTTTAACCATTTAAAATACACTCAAGCATTTCCTAATGATGTGGATACTTTCTGAGGAATTTGTCCTTAGTGATTTCATCTTTGTGCGAATACCATAGAGTGTCCTTATAAAACTTAGACAGTGTAGATCACTCCGCATGTAAGGTATACGGTATAGCCTATTGCTCCCAGGCTGCAAACCTGTATAGCATGTCTCTGTACTGAATGCTGTAGTCAACTGTCACACCATGGTGACTGTGGATTGTGATCCCAAAATATCTGAGTCAGGTCTCAGTCAATTTAGAAAGTTTATTTTGCCAAGGTTAAGAACACGCCCATGACACAGCCTCAGGAGGTCCTGACAACATGGGCCCAAGGTGGTCATGGTAGAGCTTGCTTTTACACATTTTAGAGAGACATGAGACACCAATTAATATGTGTAAGATGTAGCGTCATTTGGTCCAGTAAGGTGAAACAACTAGAAGTAGGAAGTGGGGTTGCTTCTAGGTCAGAAGTAGATAAAACAGAAGGTTGCATTCTTTTGAATCCTTGATCAGCCTTCCGCTGAATACAATTTAGTCTGGTTCAGTGAATCCGCATTTTTACATATACAGTAGGGTAGAGGAATGGCATGATCTTGGCCCACCACAGCCTCTGCCTCCCAGGTTCAAGCGATTGTCTTGCCTCAGCCTCCTGAGTAGCTGGAATTACAGGCATGCACCACCATGCCTGGGTAATTTTTGTATTTTTAATAGAGATGGGCAGCCACCATGCCCAGCCTACTATCAGTATATTTGCTGTGGTTGGGTATTTGTTCAAATATTTACTCAGTTTTAAAATCACGTGTGTATTTTGTAAATATCTTCTCATGTCTGTCTTGTCTTTTTGTTCTCTGAATAGAGTTTTTCACAGTAGAATACTTAGTTTTATAAAGTCCGTTATCAATATTTTCATGAATTGGCGTTTGATGTTGCGTGTTAAAACCCAACACCAAACCCAACGTCACATAGATTTTCTTTTAGATTTTTTGTAGTTTTGCATTTCAAATTACAGTCTCTGGACTATTTTGAGTAGGTTTTTGTTTTTCTTAATTTGTGTATATATTCATTTCATTCTACATGGCTTCCAAAGTCTTCCTTCACCATTTTTGGGAAAGATATGGCTACAGTAGGCTTCATTTTGGTTTGAATTTCCAAAATTATTACTTTGAATAAACTGAATATTGAATTTTATAGGTATTTCAGGACAGCCAGGTGGGAGTGCACGTCCACCGAGAAACTGAGCAAGAGTGACTGTGCTGAGCCTTTGCGCCACCAGAGGGCGTGCAAACCCATTCCTGACCAGCTTCCCTCTGAGGTGCCAGAAACAGCAAGGATCTTCGACCCTCAGGGCAGCACAAGGGTCGTGTCAACTAAGTGTCCTTCATTGGTGAGTAAAAAACTTCCTTTCCACAGCCCTGAGTGCAGAGAAGAGAGTCTTTAGAGCACTCAGCAAAGGAAGAAACTCATCTAGAAAAATGAAATCGCCATATCCCATCATTACGACTACACTCTGATATTGTCAACATCCCAGACACAGTGGCTGCTGAGATACATTCTCACAGTGGCCTCTAATATAATAATCACACCGTGCCCTAACATTACTATGATATCCATACCGTGCCCTAACACCAGTATAATATCCACACCGTTGCTTCTGATACTAATGTAATACTATCCACACTGTGCCCTAATGCTAATGTAATATCTGCACTGTCCTCCAACACCAATATAACATGTACACCATGCCCTAACACTGATATCCACACCATGCCGTAACACTAATGTATCTACACAGTAACCTCTAATACTAATAAATATAGTAATATCTACTAAATGGAGTCTGTTGACTTTGAGGCTTTTATAAGGGTTCCATCTTTGGATGAAGCGTAACCTCTATAGTGGATTTTGATGATGTTTCTGCTTTTCTGGAATAGTATTGATATGGTTATTTTAAAAAGTAATTTACTTTTTAATACTGTCATTCTTCTAGGAAGCTTCCAGTAGCAGTGCAAAATACAACCTGTTTCTTTTCTTAGAGTCCCCAGCAGTTATTGCTGTGCTAGATTCGCAATATTCCACAAAGTACTCCAGCGTATTTTACCCAAAGCATGGACACTCTCCCAGGTACATAACCACTAGATCAGAAAATCAGCATGGTTCCTACATGATAATTCAGTTCACAAACTCATTTCACTTTTACCTCCTGCCCCACCTGGGAGTATAATGTGTTTTTTCATTCTGATCCAGTTTTCCTGTCACTGTTCCCAAGACTTTTCTGCATATTTATGATCTTGACACATTTTAAAGAGCATACAAGTTTTGTTTGAACACCTGCTTTCAGGTCTTTGGGGTATATACCTAGGAATGGAATCACTGAGTTATATGGTAAATCTATTTGTGACTGTTTGAAGAAACTCCAAATTATTTTACACATATGCTGCACCATTTGATATTGTCACCACAGTGTTTAGTTCAAGTTTCTGCACATCTTTGTCAACACTTTTTTTTTTTTTTTTTTTTTTTTTTTTAACTACTCTAGTGTGGGTTAAGGGGTATGTCTTTATGGTTTTAATTATGACTAATGATGTTACACTTGTGAAGTGTGTATTAAAGTTCTTCATTAGTTTTTAGATTGGATTGTCTTTGTTGTTGAGTTGTAAAAGTTATTTATACATTCTGGATAGCAGACACTTATGAAGTATCTACTGTGCAGATTTTTTCTTCTGTTCTGTGGGTTAGTGGAACATAATAAGAGTTTATGTGTGGTCTCTGTCCCAGTGTCCTGAGGCAGAGCACTAAGCCTTTGGAATGTATGAAGTATTGTCTCTTTCATATGCTAATGAGATAACTGATGGCTTGGGGTACCTGGACAGCCTCAGTGGGGCTGGTTGCCAAAGAAACCAACCTTGTCATTAGAGGATTTGAAATTTCAGCCTCCCTCCCATCTCTGTGAAAGGTAGAGGTGCTGGTGGTTGAGTTGAATACCTAAAGGCGCTGTTGTAACCAATCTGCCTATGTAATAAAAGATGGGGTTGGGAGAGTATCTGTGTTGCTGAACATGGGGAGATGCTGGGAAGATCATATCTGGAGAGGACATGGGAGGCCCGCACCCCTTCCACACACCTCACGCTGTGCATCTCTTCATCTGGCTATTCATTTGTAGCCTTTAAAATATCCTTGGTAATAAGTCAGCTATAGTAAGTACTCTGTTTTCATGGGTTCTGTAATGTGCCGTAGCAAATTGCTGAACAAAATAAGGGTGTTCTGGGATCCTCCAATCTCTAGCCAAGTCGACAGAAATTAATCTGGAAATCTACTGTTTGTGATTGGCATCTGAAGTGGTTACAGTCTTGTAACTGCGTACCCTTACTTTCTTAAAGAAGAAATGTGGCCGGGCGTGGTGGCTCAAGCCTGTAATCCCAGCACTTTGGGAGGCCGAGGCGGGTGGATCACGAGGTCAAGAGATCGAGACTATCCTGGTCAGCATGGTGAAACCCCGTCTCTACTAAAAATACAAAACATTAGCCGGGCATGGTGGCGCGTGCCTGTAATCCCAGCTACTCAGGAAGCTGAGGCAGGAGAATTGCCTGAACCCAGGAGGCGGAGGTTGCGGTGAGCCGAGATCGCGCCATTGCACTCCAGCCTGGGTAACGAGCGAAACTCCGTCCCAAAAAAAAAAAAAAAAAAAAAGAAGAAGAAGAAATGTATTACTTTTACCTCTTTCCTTTTCTCACACTTCCTACTTAGCTTTTTAGGAATGCAATTATAGGCTTTACCTTCTCTCCACCAGACACTTCCTGCACTAAAAGCTTTTTAAACTGTATGTTTACTTACAAGTTCCAGGGACCAAAACTTGAAACAAACTAGACACCTCCGGAACTCTCCCCTACCAGGAGATTGCCAGGATACAACAGTCCATTTACAACCTAGCTCTGCCCATGGTGGTACTAGCAAGACCACCTAATGGATAAAACATCAGAGCAAGTCCCATAGACCCTGCACCACCTCACTCCATCCCCTTCATGCCATTCTGCCAAGTCCCCCTTTCAAAGCTCCTGCTTTCTGCCCTGAAAGTGGATGCTGTTCCCTTAAGTCAGGAGCCTATACATTCCCTTCAGCTAAGCTCTGGCATAAAGTCACTTTTTTAATTATCATCCTCGTGTTTAGCATTCTCTCGTGTTGCAAGCAACAAGCTGCATGACCTGTTTTCCTAGGACTGAGCACTTAGCCTGTGGGGTCTCATGCTTTCTCCCGGTGGTGTCAGAATTGGATTGCACTGTAGGACACCCAGCTGGTACCCAGGATTTGATCTGTGTGGGAAAAAAGTCCATGCATCTGGTAACAGAAGTGTTCTGTGTTGAGTGTTGAGACTGTATTAGGAGAAGATAGTTGTTTTTCCTTTTATAACAAATTTGTCTTTCAACTTTTTTCATCATGTCTTCTGAGGCATAAAAGTTTTTAATTTTGAGGAAATCATCTTCCTATGTTTTCCTTTTGTGGTTTGTGCTTTTGGTGTCAGATCTGAGAAACCATTGCTACATCCAACATCATGACGGTTTAACTGTGTGTTTTCTTCTAGAGATTTTAGTTTTCCCATCTTTAGGTCTTTGATCCATTTTAAGTTAACTTGTTAATGTAATATGAGGTAAGGATACAATTTCATGTCCCTTTATGTGGATAGCAAGTTGCCTTACATCATTTGTTGAGAACAGCATTCTTTCCCCAGTTTAATGGTTATGGATCTTGTGTAAAATCATTTGGGCATAGAGGTACTGTTTTATGTCTGGACTTCCAATCCAATTCAGTTGATCTTCCTGTTTGTTCTTGTGCCAGTATGATGCTGTTTTGATTACTGTTGCTTTGTAATAACATTTGAAATTGGGATGTGTGAGCCTCCAAATTTGGTGTCATTTTTCTGGATTGGTTTGGCTACTCGGGGTGAATTAAAATTCTATATGAACATGGGGATTAGCTTTCCCATTTCTGTCCTAAGACCTTTGGGATTTTTGTAGGAATAACAATGAATTCGTAGTTTGCTTTGTGTAGTTTGGCAAACTTGACAAATACCATCTCCAAATCCATGACTGTAACATGTTTTTTTGTTTTTTTTTTTTTTTTTCCGAGACGGGGTTTCACTCATGTTACCCAGGCTGGAGTGCAATGGCGTGATCTCGGCTCACCGCAACCTCCGCCTCCTGGATTCAGACAATTCTCCTGCCTCAGCCTCCTGAGTAGCTGGGATTACAGGCACGCACCACCATGCCCAGCTAATTTTTTGTATTTTTAGTAGAGACGGGGTTTCACCATGTTGACCAGGATGGTCTCGATCTCTTGACCTCGTGATCCACCTGCCTCGGCCTCCCAAAGTGCTGGGATTACAGGCTTGAGCCACTGCGCCCGGCCTGACTGTAACATGTTTTTACATTTATTTGGGCTTTGTTTAATTTCCTTAAGCAAAGTTTTACAGGCTCACACCTGTAATCCCAGCACTTTGGGAAGCCAAGGCAGGCAGATCACTTCAGGTCAGGAGTATGAGACCAGCCTGGGCAACATGACAAAACCCATCTCTACTATAAATACAAAAATTATCTGGGTGTGGTGGCACATGCCTGTAATCCCAGCTACTTAGAAGCCTGAAGCAGAAGAATTGCTTGAAACTGGGAGATGGAGGTTGCAGTGAGCCAAGATCATGCCATTGTACTCCAGCATGAGTGACAAGAGTAAAACTCCATCTCAAAAAGGAATAATAATAATAAAATGGATTTTTGTATTGGTATTGTGCTTGTATGTTTACCCAATTTGTTTACTATCTAATAATTTTTTAAACATTCCTTAGGAATTTCTATGTATGAGATCAGGTGATAATTGAGCCTCAAATAGTTGTTATTTTATTTTCTTGCATAATTGCCCCACCTGTATTTTCCAATATACTATTGAATACACAAGTGAAAGTAGGTGTCTGTGCCTTGTTATTCTATTAGGAATAAACCTTTCAGTGATGACAATTGAGCATGCTTACTGTTGGTTTTACAAAATTGCTTTTTTCATTTTTAAGAAATGTCCTATTTCTAGGTTTGTGTTTTTTATCGTGACATGGTGTTGAACTTTGTTAGAAGCCCTTTCTGCATCAGTTGAAAAAATTATTTCCATTCATTCTAATAATACAGTGTGCTATGTGGATGGCATTAGTGTGTGGAACCAGCGTTGATTTTTCTGGCATAAAGAAATCATGTTCATGATGTTTGATCCTTTCCAAATGCTGTTGGCTTAAATTTACTATTATTTTGTTGAGGATTACTAAGTCTGCATTTCTCAGGTTATAGATCTGTAGATTTCAGTCCTTGAAATGGCATGACACTGTGTAGGTTGGATCAGGATGGGACTGGATATAGATTGCGGTTAGTATTTACAGAGTTAGTGTATAAGGGTATTACACAATCAGGACATAGGGCTTTACAGGCTAAGAGTTTGCCAGTTAAAGATTATGGTATAAGGGCTCCAAGAGAGAAGGTTCAGGTTGGTGGTTAAGAGCTCCATAGTAGAGATTAGAGGGAGAGATTAGGCTGACTAATAGGGTTAGGTTGACAGGTCAGAATTACAGTTAAGGGTTAGGGTGAAAGTTTTAGTGAGATTTTGGATTGGGGTTATATACAGGTTAAAGTAGGTTTAGCTTAAGGTAAGGGTTAGAGTGGGTAAAAGTAGCACAGTTCATGATTGAGGGTTAAGCTTAGGTTAGATTTAGAGTTAAGGGTAATTGAAGTAAGGTTAGGGTTAGGGATTAGGAGGATTAAGGGTTAGCGTTCTTTACAGTTTAGAGTAGGAATTGGGGTTAGGGTTTAGGGCAGTGGTTAGGGTAAGTACTAGGGTTTTAGGGTTAGGGTTCATGTTGTTAGGTTTAGAAATAGGGTTGGGGGTTAAAGTTAGGATTAGGGTTGCGGATAGGGTTGGTTGGTTTAGGGTTAGGTGTTAGGGTTGGGCTTCGGGTTTAGGGTTACGGTTAGTGTGAGGGTTAGGGTTAGGTGTTAGGGTTAGGATTAGGGCTAGAGTTAGGGTTAGAGTTAGCCCTATGGCAAGGCTTAGCATTAGGGTTAGGGTTAGGGCTAGGGCTATGTTTAAGGTTAGGGTTTAGCAGTTAG